GCGAAGAATAGCGCATTCTGCCACTCCAACACCAGAGTTTCGTGCATCCGACGTGATCTTTACAGAGGGCCGCGTTTCGCGAGCATCGGCCAAACCACCCCACCGCCTTGAGAGCAATGTGGAAAGATGTCGAAGTTGCAGTTGCGCAGGTGGATTTTGTAGGTGTGTTCACCTGTATCACAACACCTGTATCTATGTAGGTGTGATAATATAGCAGGTGCATCACCTTCATTTACGCACCTGACGACGACGACGATGATGATGATGATGATAGTTGGACAGCGGCCGTTCTTTACGGAGAACCCTTCGCAGGTGCTTCCGGTAGAAAAACCTAGTGTTGCTGAACCCTCACATACGAACAGCTTTCAGTACGGTCAAAAAAAGTTCGATGTTCTAAAGGCGTTCCTTTTTTCAAGTGTGTTTCTCATTCAAAAGGATTTAAAGCCTCAGAGCATGCTTGTGACCACTTGCGCTGTTTTTGTTGCAATTCGGCTGTACTGAGATTGAAGAGTGACGGATGTTCTTATTTGCAGCCGTTTAGAGCGAGAGCAAGTGCCACAGCCTGCCCATTGTTTGGCATTTGTGTCCATCGGCTGCTCGGCTATAGTGGGCGACACTTTTATATAGCGAGATTGAGCACCGCACGAGCTCGGATTTGTTTGGGGATGAATTCATGTTTTACTTATGCCCATTTCTCACACATGAACACAACTGCATCCGTTATCGAAAGGCATGTATACCGACGTGTAGGATGGCATGTCGAACGGAATCCAATGTTGAAGATTTTTTCAATTGATGGTGTTTTCTTCGGACACCTGAAGAGTGTGACTTACAATGACGTCAATCAAAGCCGCACAAACTATACCCAGAATCCATACATGATGCCTGGGGGAGACCTGCGGTGGCATGTGTTTGCCACAGCATAGTGTTTTTGTTGCTTCTAGGGAGGTGAAAACGAGAACACACAATAACGCAATGTATTTGCTCATGTTGTGTTTCTTTTTGCCAAAACGAGACCCGACGGTCGCTGCGCAAGCCGAGCGACGGCAACAGCGGATGCGTCAACGTCTGAAGTCCACGAGCTCAACATGGACAGGTTGCAGTGAACTTCCTAAAACGCAAGTGCCTTACTAGTAACAAGTGCCACGCTAGTAGTAACAAGTGCCTTACTAGTAACAATGTTTGCTACTATAGAATTTAACTTAGAATTAACTAGTAGCTTCTTGGAGTCCGAGTCCACAGGCTCGACATGTCGAGTAGCAAACATTGTTACTAGTAAGGCACCTGTTACTATTAGCGTGGCACTTGTTACTAGTAGCTCCTAAAACGCAAGTGCCGTTTTGGCAAAAGCCCAAATCTCAATGTTCACTTCTATTTTTGTACCAAATGGTTCGTTTGCTGTGTGGAGCTGGCCCTAAGGAAGTTGTGAAACCTTGCAACTGTCTCCATGGTACCTCGGCTGCCTTTTTGAGTCCGAAAAATCAACAAGAACCAAGAGCTTCTTGGTAGGGATGCCCTCCAGCTTCTTGGTAGTACACCTTGCTACTAGTAGCGTCCTACACCGTATTTTGTGTTTCAACACCAGTTTCATGTATTTAGAAGCGGGAATCTCGCACTAATCATTTGGTTCCTTGTTTAGACTTTTGTTTTGGGCGAAAAGAAGTGCCAAGGCCACGATCGCGAGCTTGAACGACTTTGAGCTCTTTCGCGCCTGTGGGCCCTTGTATCCTGCCTTTGCTGTCGAATCTGAGAATGAAAAATCGAGTTGATGAAAGAAATCGTGTAAAATCCGAATCTGATAATTGATAAATATTGTTCTATGTGTTCAATATTGTTCAATTCTATTCCGAATGTGTCCGAGGAAAGTTTGACTTCGTTGCTCTTGGGTTGCTTTTTCTGTTATCTTTCGCTTCGAATTGCCGTTCGGACACTGGGCAGCACAGGTTTCTACCTGAGGTCGAGCTTTTGTTTGTTTCTTTTACTTATTTATTATGTATTTGTTTCTTTTCTTTTGTATTGTATTTCTCTATGTTGTTTTAATCATTTGTTCTTGACATTTATTTTGTTTCGCTTCGTTCTCATTCTCTCAGGAGCGATGTGCAGAAGCCGATGTCCTCCTTTTTTCGCATGATCTATGGTTGGGCGCAACTTGACTCAAGTGTGTCATGCGAAAGTGTCGTAAATACATTTCCTGTGGCCCAAAACTGGAACAAGACAGGCACGAAGTGTATGCGCAGAAACGGTACAAACGGTACATCCAACGGCATGTTGTGCGCTTCGCATTGCCCACCAACTGCGGCCGCCCAGTGGCGCTCAGCCAAAAGCGTCAAGTGGACAAAAGTGTGAATGGCAGCGTCAATTGTTTCTACATGTGTTTTTGTTTTTTTTTAATGTTGTGTTATGGATGCCAACAGGATCCAACGCAAACCCCCGAAGAAGTGTTGTTTGTTCAATAGGCTTTTAGCCAAGTGCACATGTCACCGCTATTGCTTCGATTTTGACTCTTTTCGAAAAACCCAATATACATGCAGTCGGAAAATGTTTAGTCAAAATTACTGAAACAACTTAAACAAGAAGCTGCTAGGAGCAAAGGGCATCGCTACTAGGAGCAACGACGCTACTAGGGGCTCCTGGCTGTACTACTAGGAGAGCCGTCTGGCCTTTGAGGCTAAAATCGGTTGGCTTGAGTCCCTGGAAGGAGATAGATTTTAGCCAGGGGGCCGACCTGATTTTGAAGGCCACACAAATAAAATGGGTCTGGAAAAGAACCCTATGTTAAAAATAAAATCTATCTGGATTGGGATCTGATGTTGGCTACCCCCCTTTCATCAGAGGGATTTTAGCCAGAGACTTTCTACATGTGGTCATGGCATGACTTTAGGAGCCAGATGTTGGACCCCCCATTTCATGGGGAGACTGATGTTGGACCCCTCCATTTGGAAACTGATGTTGGACCGGAGAGAGAGGGAGAGAGAGAGAGAGAGGGAGAGAGAGAGAGAGAGAGAACTCTACAGTAGATTGCTGACCTTTGTCTGTTGTGTAGCCGATTGCGCATTGGCCTTTACCATTTTGTCAAGTGTCAGTATTTGTCCTCTGTCACCTCTGAGTTATGTTGGTTGCTTTTGTTGGCATGCTGTAGGCAAGCCCTTGCCTCTGGCTGTGTGCTGATACCACAGTGCTCCAAAGAAGGAGTAGTAAGGAGAAAGAAGGCATTTGTGTTTACAAGGGCTTAATTTTGGTTTATTCTTTGAAGCTTGGTCTCTGACACTTTAGCCACACATTTTATTGCTAGGTGAGGTCCAAACACAATAGAGAATCATACAATGGTGGGATGATGCAAGAAGATTAATGTCCAGGATGCTGACCTGTTCTGCTGCACACCTGTTTGCATGTTGGCCCATACCATTTTAGCCAGTGGTCCCCTGTCACCCTTGTACCATTATGGGTGTAAACATGTCTGCCTTGCAACTTGCTGCTGTGTGCTGAACCCTACAACCCCAACACACAACTCCAAAGAAAGACTTTCAGAATCTCCATGCCTTAAGATGACAAACAGGATTCCCACCAGGTTTGGTCTCTTCCCAAAGGTGTGTCCTCAGCCTTGGTAGTCTTTGTTTTTGCTTTGAAGCTTGGTCCCTGCCACTTTAGTCACACATTTTATTGCTAGGTGACGTCCAAACACAATAGAGAATCATACAATGGTACAGAGTCGTACAAGACACAGACAAAGCAGAAGCAGGCGGAAAATAAAACTGTTGGGCTGACCTTACAGCTGATTCAGAGTTGACCAGGCATTGCAATTCCAGTGTGCGACCTGAACCTAGATGAGTTCTAGATGCAGAGATTTGTAGAGTCTGGAATGTTGGCCCCTCTCAATTTATCCAGGACATGGTAACATGAGGCGAAAATCCTGAATCTTGGATCTACCCATTTCATTAGCCCTTTGGAGGCTAAAATGGGGTTGGCTCCCAGGGGTCCTAGGTGACATGGTATGCCCAGACGGCTGTCTACTAGGAGCAATGTTCGCTACTAGAAACAAATTTGTTGCCTTTTTGTTGCCTCTTTTTTCTTCGATTGTCTCAGACGAGACATGGAGTCGTCCATGGTGTCGAAGACCTTTGGCACTGTCCATTTTTCCGAATTCTTGTTGGCGACCTTTTTGAGACAAATGGATGCAAAGAAAGCAGTATGCAAACTAAGTGTGCTAAACGTGTTGCAATGTCTTTCCGTTTCTTTTTGTTCGCTTGAAAACTCCCAGGCAACCGGTGGTCTCAGAATGGTGGGGTGTTGCCAAGCTGCATTAGCTCCGCTCAGTGGGACACACAAAAGCTGAAATGTGTATTGCTTTCCACTTGCATCTGAAACAAGTGCGTATTCATGTGATTCATGTGTTTTAGCGTAGTTAAGTGCCGAACTAAGGAAGTTCGTGTTTGGGACACCATGCACAAGCAACCACTGGCAAAACGCATGGCTGTTTGTAGGACAGAACAAGTCGGTCGCATTCACATCACAACATGTGTCAAGATCAACGTGTGTTGTCCAGGCAATTATAGCTGGCCTCCAACCTACTTGCGATGGCCTCCCCTTATAGCGTCCTTGCTACCAGTAGCGATGCCCTTTGTTGCCAGTAGCTTCTTGTTCCTAGTAATAAGGCCAGGAGCTACTAGTAGCGTCCTTGCTACTAGTAGCGATGCCC